GATCAGGAGCTCCGCAGGCCCCAGCCGGGCAGCACCTCCTAAAATCTCACCCCCACACACCAGCTCCGAGCAGGTAGGCTGACGCTTCTCACGGTGCGCCTGCCCTGCCCTGTGTGCCCTTCTATCCTAGCAGCTGTGCTCTGCTCAGCTGACCTGGCTGTCCACATCGGCTCCTCAATATTCTTCCCCACTGGACCCACAGACCCACAAGGTCACACCGAGTCCTCAGCACCTCAGCACCCCCACAGCGGGCTCATGCCGGACGCTGGCCAAGGCCAGCGGGCTAAGCGACAAACGGCCCCACGGTACCAGGACCCAAGAAGGACCTGCAGACACCTACTTTGGGTTTTGCGATCTCCTTGATCCTCTGGATTTCCTCGTCAGACATGACGTCGTAGTACCTGACGATGTGCGGGCTGTCCCACTCGTCCTCCTCTTTGAAGGGGGCGATGAGCAGCTGTGGCGTCCCGTTGCCATCGTGGTACCTACAGAAAAGCCTCTTCTGCCTCTTGGGTGTCTGCGGAGCACAGAGCAGCAGCCCTGAGCCGAGTGAGTCCTAAGCCCTGTCCCAGGCTGGCTGGCTGCAGACCCTGGTCTCACACCCTGTGTCCAGCAGCGGCTCCCTCCCACCCCACCTCAGCTTGCTGGGCATAAAATGATACCCCAAACATCAGGCAATGTTTCTTCTTTCCCAAGGTCTGTGGCAGAGGGTGACCCCTGACCTTTTTCACAGAGATGTGAGTAGGTTTAAAGGGCTGGGGCAGGGGGAGCCTTTCCAGGAGGAAGGGCCGGGGGGAGCGAGGCAGTCAGGCCTGGAAAAGGCCGAGAGTGCCCACACCTGAGCCTCCCTAAGGACGCACTGGGATCCCAGGGCTCTCAAGGCCGGTGATACCCGACACCAAATTCTAGCAACTGCGGAGTTCCAGCCTTTGCCGAGTCTCTACTACAAAGACCAGGACTTCCCTTGGGAACTGAGCAACATCCACATTCGGGTTTTTCCCAACAGAAACTGGTCAGGTTGGGGTGGGGAGGGGAGCTCAGCAATAACTTAGAGGATTGAAAATCTACTTGAGATGTGAGGGGAGAGAGTCTCCTGTCCTATATCTCAAAGAACGTCCACACGTCACCCTCAGCAGATACTACAAAGAACTAAGGAAGATGCTGAGAAATAACCCACAGAGAAACTTCCTCCCCAAATCTGCCCGTCCAGAGCCAAAGCCCGGGTCCACGGCCTGGAACGCTGACCCACCCACGTGTCTCACCAGTTTGACGCCCTCCCCACGACAGAGGCTCTCGTAGACGTCCCTCTCGGGCAGGTAGTCCGCGGGCCTCTCGTAGATGCTGTCCTGGGGCGCTTGTCCAGCTTCTGTCTGATTTGATGCCATTTTTCCTCTTTCTTCCTCCAGCAACTGTTCAAAGTAACGCAGATTCCCTCCAGCTCGTTCATGGCTCGGGTCTAGAAAAGGCAAAGAACAAGAAGGAAAAGGAAACCACAAACATCTGTTAGGTCATTTAGAGAAATTATTCTATAAGCAGTTTCTCTCCCAACAGCTCACTCGCATGCAGCATCCTGCCTTCCACAGCACCTCATCAGGGTTCGCGAGTCAGAGCAGAAAATCCAACAGATGTTCTCTCTGCTCTGGTCAGTGACGAGAAAGAAGCAACAAAGGGGGCACAGTTGGCTGGCCACTGAGGGGGCTGTCTTCTCAGGCCTCCCAGGAGGTCCCAAGGACACAGGTCCAGAGTCCTGCCTCCTCTCCCGACCTGGCTGTGTGCCAGTGACGTCTGTCCCCTAGAGTGCACCCATCCCTGGTGACCACATCACATGCTGGGCACAGCTAGAAGGCAGGCTGAAATACTGGCAAAAAGAACAGCTACGTGACACCACTGCCACAGCTTCAGCTTG